ACCATGCACAAGTGAGAAATGAGAAATCTTGCTGGTGAGAGTGAATTTCTGGCTCTCAATGAATACTGTCATTTTCTGTACAATGGACTCACTGTTAAAGAAAAATTAATTAAAACTGTTTATTTACACCTGAAAATATGGGGAAAAACATCATCTTGATCGTGGGTATTGAAACAATTTAATGTAAAACAGTACTTGTGTGATATAACAGAATATAACAGTGTGATAATTCACAATTCTATGTGACAAGTTCAACATGAACATATGCTATCATCTCCACACCACTTTCTCCTATTCACTTGCATTGGGTGTGGTCATAATTAACGAGTATGTGAAACATCACTTCTTGCCACATATTCTTGCTTGCTTGTGTCTGCATAGTTGCATCCTTATGTGAGGATCGTAGGCACAATTGTGCACAAATTTAAGAAAATTTTTAAGCCTATCTCTGTTGCAATTGTTAAGAAAACATTGCACAGAAAACAGATTGAATGACAACCTTTTCTATCAACAACTGGGAGAGAATTATAACATCCGAGTGTTAAGTTAAACAGCTTATAGTTAACCTATTGGATGTTGAAATTGTTATTTGTTGGCTGTGATGTCATGTTGAATTTTCGTCGATGTTAAGCTTAATTTTTTTTTTTAAATAATAATCATGTTTACTGTATTGTAAAAAATTATTTTTTATGTTTCACAAACAAAATATATATATTGAATAATATAAAAATTATAATATAAAAATGTAATATAAAAATTGTGACACGAAGCAACATCTAGTATCAAAAACATTCCAATGTAAACACGGAAATTTTCAGGATCGCCCGTGCAGGTCAATGAGGTCAACATGAATATTTTCAGGATCAACGTAGGACAGGTTAAAGGAGGAGAAAGTCGATTGTCAACTAGTAAATAGAAGGAAGCGTACAAGTTTCAGACCAAATATGGTCATGACAGCTGCATGTAAGTGACATTATAGCATCGTTGATAGAGACCTATAAATTCACATCTGCAAAAATCAACCTTTATCCTCAACAACAACTGATCACCTGAACAGTTTCCAAGGTAAAATCGAATATAAGGACGAAGCACCCACACTTCAGGGTGTTCGTCTTTGGGAAGCAACTTCTCCCGGAGAGGAAGATTCACTCACCACAGACAGCATTCCAAGATGCCAAATAGAACAGACTCCTTCCAAGGCTCCCTCTTTGCCATTGTCATAGAAGATGATGGCTCAAATCGCCTTATAAGAAAGCGGCTCGACCTCAACCAAGACAAAGAATAGCATCTCTCTCTGACGTATTTCAATAGCCATATGCAAACTCTCTCTCTCCAGATAGAACGTGAACGGAGCATGTAAATACATAGTCATGTAGTTTTAGACATACATTCCATATTTCTGTATACTTTTAGTTTTAGATATACAGTAGAACCTCGATTATCCACCCCCCGATCAACCGACCCCTCGGTTAACCAACTGTCCTAGTCGGCAAATTTCAAATGTCCGCTAGTGATGTGGCGCTACAATAGCGACGATTATTATTTAAAAAAAAATTTTGTTAGGCTTAACATCGATGAAAATTCAACGCAAAATAGGTTAATAGCGATATACTAATTACATGGGATATAATAATATACTACACTAATAATGGATTTTTTCATACTTTTCGGTTATCCGACTTTTCAATTATCCGACCAACCCCAGTCCCCAATTAGGGCGGATAATCGAGGTTCTACTGTATAAACGGGACCTTTATGAACCGAGNATATACTAATTACATGGGATATAATAATATACTACACTAATAATGGATTTTTTCATACTTTTCGGTTATCCGACTTTTCAATTATCCGACCAACCCCAGTCCCCAATTGGGTCGGATAATCGAGACTCTACTGTAATGGATTTTTTCATACTTTTCGGTTATCCGACTTTTCAATTATCCGACCAACCCCAGTCCCCAATTAGGGCGGATAATCGAGGTTCTACTGTATATTAAACTTGTATTCTATTTGTTAACCTGGCTACCTGTCTCTATCAAACCTTGGACACCTATTACTCATGGCATTCTCCACTTGATCTTGTAGCCCTCCTAGCAATCCAAAGACGATGTGAGTGGGTCTTGCTGATCTGTTGCCAATTAAGCAGTATTTAGGGAACCACTAACCCTACTAGCCCACAGTATCTCACACTTATCTGACCAGCTTAGGCATCTGATCTGGAGCTCTTGTAGGAATCTTTTTTACTTAAAGAATTTGTGTGTCAGTTTAAGTGACAACAATGTCAATAAACCATAAAGGACACTTTATATTTTACTTGCCATCTTGGTCTGGTGACATGGTGCAGAGTTGTCTTGGAAAATGCAGGATTTTGCCATGAAATTGTTCCTTGATTGTTGGAATTAACTTGACAGATAAGATATGAATACAGAATATTACAAAAAACAGACCCATCTGTAGTCTTTCTTATAAATTGATCTGTGAATATATATTTACCCAAACAACCACCGGATTACATAAAGCTATTTCTCTGCGATTATATTTAATTACTTACTAAATAATTTGTCACTACAGGGAGACATTAGGCACCATCTCTTATTAAATTACTATTTATTAAATAATTTAGAATATTATGGAAGAAAAGAATTGGCCCAGAGTGGGACTCAAACCCACAATGCTCACTTACTGTGCAGGTGCAAAATTTAAATGTAATTATTAAATTTAATAAAATTGGGTTGTTCAGAAAGTAATTTCATTTTTTTTATTACTAGAGGAATTAGATGTATTTTACCAGCCAATTTCATTTTAAACCAAATTTTCATTATATACTTTGATAGCTGACATTTTAAGGCTTATTTGTAAAAAAATTTTGTTTGATTCTGTACAATCGCTTTTTTTTTTTTTTTTTTTTTCGGTGTCCCATTAAATATGGAAAATTGAAAGCATCATTTCCCACATATTTTGCTTTCTTATTACCAAAAAATGAAAATGCTGTTCAAGCAAGAAAAAAATTGTGGTACATGTATGGAGAAGATGTGTTGAAAGAAAAATAGTGCCAAAACTGGTTTACAAAATTTTGTTCTCGCAATTTCAATATTGAAGATGCACCATGTTCTGGATGGCCTGTTGAAGCCAATGAAAACAAAATAAAAGTACTGATTGAAGCAAACTGCCAAATAACATGTGAAATCACTAAGCAATTAAATTTGTCAAATTGAACCGTTTATGATTACTTGAAACAAATTGGTTTTATTTCAAAGCTTGATATATGGGTTTTACATGTTCTTAAAGAGAGTTGCTCTCTTTGGTGGGATTTTAAGAAAATTTTTTTTTTTTTTTTGAGCTTTTACCAGACAATTTAGCAATTGATTCAAAAGTGTACTGCCATCGAGTAAACAAATTGAGTAGAAATAGATAAATAATAGTATCTATAGTATAATAGATAAATTGAGTAATATCATCAAACAGAAAAGGCCAGAATTGATCAACGAAAAAGGTGTAGTGTTTTATCATGATAATGCCAAATTTCAGACAAGTTTGGTAACTCATTAGAAACTGTTACAGCTTAGATGGGATGTGCTATCACACCAGCCATATTTGCCAGATCAGGCACCCTCAGATTATTACTTGTTCTAGTCTATATAAAATTTTTTAAACTAAGACATTTACTTGAAATGACAATGTCAAAAATCACTTGGATCAGTTTTTTGTAAGCAAAGATCAAAACTTTTATGAACGTGGAATCATGCTGTTACCAGACACGATGGCAACAGGTATTTGACTAAAATGGTCAATATATAATTCAATAAAATATTTATTTAATATAAAAATATTGTATTTTTTCCATGGAAAGAAAATGAAATTACTTTCTGAAGAATCCAATAGATGGCACCTAATGTTTCCCTCTAGTGACAAATTATTTAGTAATTAATTACTCATGGAAAAGTAGCCCAATGTAATCAATGGTTGTTTGGCTTTTCAAATTTATTGGGTTTTGTGATCTTTGTGTACAAATTTACCCTCCTGAATATGAATGTTATGTTCTATCATTTAATGACAAAATATTAATTTAACTTTTTTTTTTCTATTTAATAAACAAAATAACAATTTTTGTGTTCTGAGGCAATTAATTTGTGCACTGTTTACCATATATCTGCGCATATAAGACGATAGTTGAATCATAAAAAAAGACCCCCAAAATCTGGGGTCATCTTACAGAACAGATAAAAGAAAACAAAAATTAGATTGAAATTTATATAAATTAAAATCATTATAAAAAACGGAAAAACTAATTATTTACTAGTAGAGAGTAGGGTATGTCCACAAAATAGAATAGCCCATACGACATTTTTGTGAATAGTCAAGGTCATTACCCGAATGCCCAAATCAGTGGGAATGTTTGCAACAATAGCAAGGCTGTGCTGCCAGATGCAAGAAAATAAAATTTGTTCATTCAAAAAATAATGAGTAGGACATAATTCCATATACGCTTACAGTATTATTACCCAGATGATGATTGCTGATCTAAACTAAATTCATAGGCTGTTGATAGTTTGGGGGTCATCTTATAGGATAGATATATGCTAAAACTATAAAACTTTGACAAAAATTTATACCTTGTCTTATCTGAAGATCATCTTATTTGCATAGATATACAGTATTTATTATTATTTCTAAAGTTGTAACAACATTTTTAAATTAAATTTTTGATCTAATCCCCATAATAATGAAATTTTTATAATGTTAAGATAGTGAAAGCATATACAATTTCTAAACATTATACAATGGATTCAGTAACACATTTTTTTTAGCCTTTACTGTTTTTATTATTTGCAAAAATAATAGTTGATAATACTGCCTTAAATCTTAATTATTTTACATTTTGAAAAATACTAAAGATTTATGAAAAATAACACCATAATACAGATAATTTACAGATAATGGCTATCACATATATCACTTTAAAAAATTTCTAAATAAAAATTTTTTTTATTTTAAAGCTTTCCACAATCAATTGAATCAAATGAATTAGCTGAAAAGAGAAGCAAAGTTGTTGCTGCTGCTGCTAATGATGATGATGACGATGATGACCTTGGTCTTTTTGGTTCAGATGACGATATGGTAAGTGCTGCTTTAAGAATTTTTATTATGTATGTAGCAGCAATTTAATGTTTAAGTGAAGAATTGCAGAAAGTAAGAACACTATTTGAAGAAATAGTATACATTTTTTTCCCCCTAAATTTAAAGAACAAATTGTTTTTAATAAAATGAGACAAATATTTCAAAATTAGGAGACATTTTTCCAAAAAAATGGAAGATTGAAAAGATTAAGTCTCAATATTGCAAAAATTTAAGTTTGTTTTTTAAAATAATTTTGTTTGTCACAGATAGGAGATACAATTGCAATGTTTTCCATGTCTATATCCCATTCTAGAGATAAAGATTTCCCAAATGAATCACAACATTATATATATATATACACACATCATGCTGGGGTTGTGCGATAGCTAGCTGAGTGCAATAGGTGAGTGTTTGTTGGATGTGTAAATTGAATGCATTCCCAATTGATGATGGTTATTTTACGTTTAAATATATGGAAAAGGAAATCAGAAGGAAAACAGACTGGAGGTTCAGGTAGCATAACTGGCAACATGTCCACATTATAAGTGACAGTAGTATTGTGGGTTTGAGTCCCTCTCTGGGCTAATTCTTTATTAAATTTAATAAGACATGACGCCTAATGCCGTCCTCTAGTGACAAATTATTTAGTAATTCATTTAAAATAATTGTGATATAATAGCCTGATATAATTTGGTAGTTGTTGGCTTATTACATATGTACTGTTCATTGCTTAAAGGTTAATACCTAATTCTAAGCAATCAGCATGAGCAGAAGTTGAGCACATGCAACCAAGGTCAGTTCTACCTGTTATCAAAGCAGTTTGAAGTGGACTGTTTTGTTTTGCAATGTGTCAGGTGAGGAAAATGATTGATGGGCATCTTTTAGGGCTCTCTGCCAACAATACTAATTTCTGCTCGCCATTATAGCCTTGCATGCGTCACTCACGCAATGTTATGCACGCATGGCTAGAGTTTTTTATTATAAGATTATGAAGGTATATGCCCATTGCATATCAAAAACAACAATTTTATCCTTTATTTATATAATTTTTCTTCCTTCTCAGGTTTCCTATGTTTGTTTGTTTGGAATTTGACTGGATAAAAGAAGAAATAAACATATCAAACATCACTTCCCTGTAAATTACAAAAATTGCAGTAATCAAATTAAGTTTGATCATTTCATTTATAAAATATATGAAGTTTAATATAAGGACAGGGTAAAAATATGCAAAAATTTCCAGAATTTTAGCAGTTTCACCAATAAATATTTTTATGAAATAACAAAATTTTCAAACAAAATACTAAATTTTAATTCATAAAAATAATATATTATTTCTAAAATGTGTTAATTGAAAAAGTCATAAAAATATTTTCATAAATGAAGCAGAAATAAATCAGTAATAAGAAAGCTATTAAGATTAGTTTAGGCACAATGGGACTTAAATAATATGGCAAAAGATTCAGAAAATTACATGGGTATAATTCATGAGTGTTACACGTAATAAATGCTATTTGACATAATAGCAATTTAAAGTAAATATATTTTTTACAAAAAATACCATTCTTTATATTCTCTACTCTTTCTTCATCTCTGGACAAAACTATTATACTATTATACATTTCAAATGGATGTTTGTGTTTGCTTGGGATAAGACCTGTCATGCAACTAAGTGTGAAATAATATATATATATAAATTTTGGTAATACAGAGTGTGCAACTTTAAAACTTGTTTGTTTAGTAACAGTGTTTTTCATGCAACGTGACAAATGCAATTATTTGATAAAATTACCAGAAGTTTTTGTTTTAAGAATATTAGGGTATACATATTAATATTTGAATGAAGAGAATCAATTTTTGTTAACTACGTGACTATGTCACATAAAAAAGAATTAATCACATGTAACCAAACTAACTGTTAAATATGAAAGTCAATATTCTTCCAAATGCAATAACATTGTCATTTGGGGCTGTATTCTGGTCTTTCATCTCTCACAAGCCGGTCGCTGATTGGCTAATTATTTGTTTACATCTCAAGAGATTATTGTATCTCTCCAAATGCGATTCTGGACAAATTTTTCTCTCTAGATTCTCTCATTTCTCAGAGATGAGCAGATAGTTGTCTTTCATCTTTTGCCTCAATTTCGTTATATTCAATATGGGTAACTAGATGCTACTCGTGCTGTACAGTTGTATTACAGAATGTTCTGTATCTCGGGAAAGAATATTTCAAGAGAGAAAATGCTTTTGATTTTTTTCTAGTGTTTACTCAGAAACATCACTGATTCCATTTTTTTTAACCCTGGATTAATGCAATTGGGATTTTCGACACCCCAAACATTTTAAAAGTTGCACTATTCATAGATTTCGCAACTAATATCCATTTACTTATCAGTAGCTTCATGATTTTATGTATAGAGCATGTTCAGAAATTGCTATGGTGTTGCAATTTTCAGTGGGGTATCCAAACACCCCACAGTAAAATTTTTAAATTTTATAAATATTTATTTAGTTTTTTTTATTTTTAAAATAACTATAATGTGACCACATTTATTATTTATAATATAGATAAATTATTTTTATTCACGTTTATTATTATAAGTTTATTTTAATTAGTTTTATTTTCTTACAAATTCAAAATGGCTGACTTTGATAAACACACTGACAAAAATATCAAACATAGCAAGCTGCTTGTCATTTGCATTGAGTGTCAAAGTACATGTCAACTAATGAATCAGAGTGAAAAAATGCTTGAAAAAAAACAATTTAGATTTTTACTATTGGTTTTATAATAAGATCTAATGTAATGAGTTTTGATAAATGTTGTTTTTTATTTTAATGGATTTATGTACTAATGTAATATGTAATCATACCTGAATAAAATCATATGTATAATGACACATGCCTTCACTAAATAAATGAGTAAAACTTTATGAATTTTTACTTACATGCTTCATGGACCAAAAAAAATGTTGGGGTGGACAAACATCCCACTGTATTAATGCCGAAAAAAATTCACTGCACTAATGCAGGGTTAATTATCCTACACTAATTACTGAACTATTGAATATGATATTAATCTTACTTAGATAGTTAAGGAAATATTAGATGGTAATATTTTGAAAAATATCTAAGTACGCACCCTTTTCTAACTTAGGTTATTAAAATTTTTATTTGTTAAGAGACAAATTAACATTACAATCTGTAAAAACATTATAAAACAAAAAAACATATCAAAATTACATTCTTTATTTGAATGCTTGCTTTCCTTCCCACATAATCAATAATTGCATACTCTGCATTTTCAAAAATTTTAACAATTTCATGGTTAAAATTCTATACCATTGCACACGTAGATAACCTGAACGTGTATAATCAGCCTAATAGAATTGTGATGTAAACAACAAAGACTAGGTTGTAGTCTCTGAGAGACGAATTCATCTTTCGTTTTGACATCATTCATCTCTGAAAGAAGAGAAGAGAGATAAGTGACCAGAATACGACCCCTGAATTTTGAGATACTGTACATCTGTGTATGCTGTTACCAGTCTGTTTGCCAGTATTTTTCTCCATATACATTATGGTTCACTGAAGTATTTAGAAAGCCCATGTTAAGATTCCTGAGTACTAGTGCAGACACTTAGCATGTCCTTTTCTGATAGTATGCTGAGCATAATCATGGGAAATAAGTGATGATTGCTTTTGGTAAAATTAGATTATTATAGATGCATGAAAGTGGTGTGAAAGCAACAGACTTTGCAGCAAACAGTGTGACCAGACGGTCGGCATCTCTTCGATGCCCTTTCAGGACTGACACCAATGTGTTTTGATTGACACAGAAGCTGAGACTGCGTGTTGATTCAATCACACAAGTGGCCGTGTGTGCAGGTGATCGGATTTGGGATCTAAATTTGGGTTGAGAGACAGTGTACTGGAAGTAAAAATACTTAGATATGAAAGTTAACAACTAAATACCCATTTATTTTCAATGAAGAGGAATGCATGATACAATATATTAACTTAACCTATCTAACTAGCAATTGCAAGACAGATAGTTTACAATTGTTTATGAGTTGGGAAATACCTGCGTTGACGGTGATGATTCTTGATTTGAGATTCTCAAATTGAGGTTCTGATTAGGATCTTGAGGATGAGGATTTGGATTGTTGAACCGGTCTGGATCAAGACAGTTCTTCTAGACACAGTGGAAAGTAATCAACAGAGTATGATTGGCACTGACACAGGAAAATTTTTGATGACTAATCCAAGAGTGACTGGCGACGACTGCCTTTTTTGGCCGTCAAATTAGATGTAAGTGCAATATTGCTGGCCAAGAGGTCAGCAGATCATGAGAATGTATCGTTTTCACTGTCGAGAATGTGTAAGTGGAGATTTTCTCAGGTAGCTGAGGACAACAATTGTTGAACAAGTATGACGACATCGATGATTGATTTTTGTTAAAATTTGGAGTATCACAATAGGAATATATAAATCTGCTGTTACATATACATTTGAATATGTGAAAAGCAAGATGTTTCATTTTTAAATGAAATATTAGGAGAATTACCTGTATAATGGGAAGTGGGTGAAAAGCAAAAGATTTAAAAACAATATGTGCACGATTGAACAAAACTGTACAAGGAATAATTTAACTTTGTGTAGAATTCAAGAGAAGTACCATGAGTGTGGCTTATACAATATTGTCAATATGTAAAATGTTAAAAATCATAAATCATTCAGAAATTTGAACTACTGTATATATTACAAATGAATGCAAATTATATGCTTGACATATTGCACATGTATCTAATAGCCACTGATATTTGCTGATGAAACAGGTTTAAATGTTAATGGCTATTAGTAGCATTAATCCTGAAGGGATGAATGCTACTAATTACCAACTCCTCCTCGGAGGCATGGATATCTATAATAATCATTCTGAGTGTTATATCATTATTGCATCTTATGACTGGGGGCTGAAATGTAGTGATGTATATGGTGGTGTGAGAATCGGGAAATACATTTATTTTTTGAATTTGTTTACCAAAAAAGGAAAACACATTTGACACTTTTTACAAAAGTGTCAGAAATCAACTTCCTTTCCCACAAGACCTTATCTACAAATTTGACATCCATCTGGCAGTCCACCCTCTCTCCACATCCCCATACATCCCATTAGTAACTGCGGATTCTTTTACACTATTGGACAGAAAGGACAATAGAAAGGGTAATTTTCCCGCCATTCAAGGCAGTCAACAGAAATATGACTTGCCATAGGAGACACAGTTGACGTTAGTCTGAATATGCCACATACAAGACGGCAGTTCATCATATAAGGACATAACCATAAGAAGCCAGTCAGTGATTCCCAAGGACCTGCCATAAGAATAGAGTTCTCTCACAGATTCTCACTTGTGTATTCCCTTATCCCTTCTCCATCTAAGAGCTTTACCAAGGAACTTCATTGTAGACTAGAAGATGATGACTACCTTCTAGACTCAGTCAAGGTAGTAAGTTTAATTGATGTAAGCTCTCTCTCTCTCGATTTAATAGTATACTCTCGATTTAGAAGTGTAACTCTAGTTGGACTTGATTACATTCAGTTATATTTGTATTTTGAATATATATCTCGTTGATTTTGTTTGTTTAGTAAATTTTTGTTATTAGTTACATTTGGTGACACTCTCTCTCTCAGTTAATTGACTCCGGACATTCATCCCGCTATGTTTGAACTTACCCATGACTCTTCCCGACTCATCAACATAACAGCCCTCCTATTTAAACCAATATCGTAAATATGTGATAAAGCGCAAAATCTTTCCCTATCTGGTATTGGGAATCCTGACTGTAGATCAAGATCTTATGATCTTTGATCTTGAACACCCTTTTTAGCCATCCTATGACTTTGGGCGGATCTTCCAGATCTGTAGCTGAATAAGTGGTAGAAAGATTACTTTTATCTACTCCCAGTTCCTCACAGTGGAGATGGAGCCATCCCTATGATATACATTACTATAGAGCATTTACACACAATCATCATGATCTTAAATTCTACTTCTGATTATGTTTATTGGATTTTAGGGTGTTGTTGTTAGTGATAGTTTCTAGTACAGTGGAATCTGCTTATTATGATTGCTTTGGGGCCTACAACTTTTGATAACAATAACTAGCTGATAACCATAACAAAGAAGAAAAATTTGTCATTATTGAACTCAATGTATTACAAACAATTACATTATGAATATGTACAATTTATATTTATCATAAACTGTATACTTAATACAACATTACAAATTTATATATGCTACATTTCTTATAAACAACTGTTTAACTCAACAGATTGCAAAATTAAAGTAGAGAAATTGCAACAGGAATGTTCATTCCCAAATGTATGCTTTTAAATTAGTGAAGAAATTTTGGATATTTTTAAATATTAAGACAACAAAATAGTTAGTTATTTCATTTAGCCAAATGTATAACTTTCTTGAATTTTTTTTAATCATTAACAATCTTTTTAAACATTTTTTAAATTTTAGGATGAAGAAATAGAAAAGTTGAAAGAAGAAAGATTAAAACAGTATGAAGAGAAGAAAGCCAAAAGTATGTTGGTTAAAATATTTTTACTTTCTTTATCAAATAATTAATATTAAAGTCATGAATTTGTTTCAAACAAACCTTAAAGTGTACTGCAGACTTGTTCAAACCAAACTTTGATAGTATCACAGAAGCTGTATAGCAGCACCCTTTTTGAGATACATATTTGACAGACATTTGCAAAACACAGAATTTTTTTGTTGTTAACCATATAAAACATGCTATAAACAAAAAAAATCATAGGACTACTTACCTGCTCTGCACTATTGGTGCTAGCATTAGTTAAGCTATTCGATGTTGAAATTTTTATTTGTTGCCTGTGATGCCATGTTGAATTTTCATCAATGTTAAGTCTAAAAATTTTTTTTTAAAATAATAATTGTGTTTACTGTATCATAAAAAATTATTTTTTTATGTTTTACAAACAAAATAAATATATTGAATAATATAGAAACAAAAAAGTTATATTTTAAAAGTTTGTTTTAATATAAAAATTGTGACGCATAGTGACATCTAGTATCAAAAATGTTCCAATGTAAACATGAAAATATTCGGGATTGCCCATGCAGGTCAATGAGGTCAACGCGAATATTTTTGGGAACAACGTAGGACAGGTTAAGCTTGTTCCTATCATGGAGTATCATGTTGGATGCATACAAAATGTGTCATAAGACTCCACTTTGACATTGCTTGGTCACATGACATTTCTGAAATATTTCCTGAGAACTTTCATCTCGCAGAAGACTTTGTTCTTTTGGCCAAATCTTGGAGGCATCATGTGACAGCTGTCAATGATGTCATTTTTTTTTTAAACACACAATTTGCCTCTTATCAGATTCTAAAGAGACTGCAGACCACAGTTTGATAAACATTACATTTGTTATGTTTCCATTAATACTATAACATTCTACAATGAAACTTACCAACTTAAAATTCAATAATAACAATTTATTTTTTAGGACTAACTTCACAAAAAAAACAGAATAAATAAATTATCAAATTATTTGTGTAGCAGTCTTAAAACTTATCTAGAAAATTGCTCTTAAAAATATTTTTTAGAATAGGTGGTGGTGTTAAATTTTTTAATATTGTATATATTATTTTCTAATGAATCCTATTCTCCATGTTATTCTTGTATTATTGTAACAGTATTGTAGTTATAGTAACAGTATTGCATATATTACTTAAATTTTTTTTAATTAAAATTTTTGAATCAGTACACAAATGACTTAATATTTGACTTATAAGTGAATTTTTCTGTTTGATATTCTCATATTATGAAAGTACCAAAATTAGTTGTATATTACTCAACAATAAAATGAGATAGAAAGTTTTAACACTTTTTAATTATTTAAACTATTCACTAACAAATGATACATAAAAAAAATGAAAACAAAGTTTTGGGGCTAACTTGACACTGATATCCTTTGCTTGAGACTGACTGAACTTTGCATCTGTGTGCTACTCAAACTGTGATCTGCTGACCAGAGCTGATCCATGTTGAAATTATTTTTATTTAATTTTGCAAAAGTACCAGTTTGTGAACACAGTTTCAGAAGTGTTGAACACCCATTATGTGAATTGTTTTAAACGAAACATTTTATTTCCAAACAGAAAAGCCTTACATAATGATCTAAACATTTATATAGCTTTAGTTTAAATTTTTAAATAAAATGATTACAAATATATACATTTTATATAATTAAATTTAGATAATAAATCTATAATTATTTATGTAGGATTATAAGTATTCAATCTTCATTGTAAAGTAATTTGATAATTTATTTGTCTGTTTTTTTTTTATGTCTGTCCTGAAGAAATGTTATGAAATCTTAAGTCGGTGGGTTTTGTTGTAGAATGTTTCAATATTACTGGAAAGGTAACAAATGCAATGTTTATCAAATTGTGGTCTGCAGTCTCTTCAGGGTCCAAAAAGAGGTAAATCATGCATTAAAAAAATAACATCACTGACAACTCTTATTTGATGCCTCCAACGTTTGACCAAAAGAACAATGTCTTCTGTGAGAAGAAAGTTCTCAGGAAATACATCAGAGATATTATGTGACCAAGCAACATCAAGGCAGGGTCATGTTAAACATTTTGTGTGCATCCAACATGATACTCCATGACAGAAACGAGCTTAACTTGTTCCCCAAGGATAATGTTTAAAAAAAGTTGCACTATTTTTGGGAGAGAAACATAAATGCTAAAAATCTAAAGTAGTTAATGGAAATTTTAAAATCTAATTTTTTTAAATGTATTCTAAAGCATTTTGTCAGAATTTTTTTATGATATGATATATATAGCAGGGGTGGCCAACACATAGACCACGGTTGACAGGTCGGCCACAAAGGTTTTGAAAGTAGCCCGCGAAACTAAAGTTGAACAATTTGCTTTCACTTAAATTAATATTTAAAAATCTTAATTCGATAATTTATTCTTACAATAATAGACTGTCTGTGCAACATACCCATACTGTTTGTATTTATCCTGATGAACAATGCAAATGAATATTAACGCATGCGCATATAAAAATCCTAAAATTGTTTACTCATATTCATAGTCACCCACAGACTATATTTTACCAAAAAAGTAGCCCCTAAGGGATAAAAGTTTGGCCACACCTGATATATAGGCTTTCACTCTTCATGTTTGCTAGACAAAAGCAGCATTAGCCAGTGCCACTTGCCAAAGTTCTTAAAATTAAGCTTAGTTCACATTGAGCAAATAGCGAAAGCAAATGTGAAAAGCAAAAAGCGATTTTTATTCGCTTAGCGAAATTGACCCTACAACCAAAAGTGAAAAGCGATTGCGAATTTTAAGCAGCTAAATCATTTGCAAGCAAGTGAAAATGTCATCTCGAAAAACAAAATGACCGCTTCCGATATTCTGTTGTTAACCATGTTTATTTATTGAGAAAGAAAAATAATTCAAAAAGAAAATGATGTTGAGAGAGAGAAATATTAAAATCCGTAATTACAATATGTAATCTATTGCATGAGAGAGTTTCTGTAGCCATCTTGAAAACAACAAGAACCACGTGACAACTAGTGGGAATATGATTGGTGCGAAATTTTTTCACTAGCAAGAAAGCTCGACAGTTCTGAACTTCGAAGCAATTCATGAAATGGTAAAATTTGCCAGAAACGACATCATGTCTGACATGTTATTCGCTCTGTTTTTTGCTTTTGCTAGCAAATTGCATTCAGTGTGAACTAAGCTTTAGTCAAAATTGAATATTGTAGTAATGATACAAGAAATAAAATTCTTGTGTCATTAATAAAGTATGAAAGTATGACAATTATTTTTATAGACAATGAGTAAATGGTAGTTAAAGAATTAAATGCTAATTGCAAATGGTTTATCATAGAGAATGGACATTTAATCACATATTCTAGATACTGTTTTTCCTCTGCTTTCTACATGCCTAACTATTTTAGTATTTTCAACCTGTCTCTGAAACAAAGCATTTACACTTGCAGAAATTAAAGTAGGACACTTAATTGGCAAAACTGTTGTGATTGTGTTATAATGTTTAAGTTCCTCTGTGCATTAATGAAAACATAACCCCTCTAAAATGGAAACCTGCCAAAATGGGAGAAATTCTGGCCAGTAACATCATTTTTTTTTTAATATATATATATAAATTATGGTAAATAACTTGACATGATAATTTTTTAGTATTTTATGGAGTGCATTAGTTATTAGGATAATTTGACAACATGCTTACTATAATGCCAATTATTTTCTAATATATCTTTAAAAAAATTTTTAGCAACAAGATTCAAACCATTATACTGACTCAAAACAATGTTTTTCCGTGGTTAGATATGCTAAATAATTTTGCATTGTAAATTTAGATATCTTACACGATTAATCACAGTCGGTGCTGTGATTAACTGCATAAAGTTATAACTAAATTTAAATACATCTGGAAGTGAAGGCTTACTTGGGCTCCGGGTGATGCATGGCAAGCAGAGGTTGCGGGTTCAATCCTGCCCTGGATCAGTTCTTTTCTTCCAGATGGTTCTATCAATAAATTATTAAAATTATAATTATTAATTTATTGAATAATAAAGAGATGGTGCCTAATGTCTACCTCTAGTAATAAATTAGTTAGTGTTAATTAATAAAATTAGCAGAATTATAGCCCAATTATTTAGGTGATTGTTTGGTGATATTTCAATATTAATATTGTTGACAGTAAATACACATAATTAATAATAATAAATTATTTAATAGAACCTGCAACAATAGCAAAATCATCTGTTGTACTTGATGTCAAACCATGGGATGATGAAACTGATATGCAAGAAATGGAAAAAATGGTTAGATCGATTAATTGTGATGGTCTTACCTGGGGAGCCTGTAAGTATTTATCTTTCAATGAGATTGTATTTTGTAGCTTTTTTAAACAGTATTTTAAAGTAAATGCGAACTTAAATGATTTATGTAATTTGGATTTTATTCCAAAATTACAAAATTGGAAGTTAAATTCTATCAAAAATATATACTAGAAGTATAAATTCATTTTAAATTTATAGAAGCATCATAAGAGCTTTGAAAAATGCTTTTAAAATAATTTCAAGTCATATGCTTTGTATGAAATGCTAAAGTGTGATAATTGATTTTATCTTGAATTGAAAATTTATGGTGTTGATATGACTTCTTACAATAACACCAAAAATCTAAAAAAAAAATACACTTTAATAGTTTAAACTGTCTTAAACAGTCAATGTCAGTAAACAAACATAATAACTAAACCCAATATATTATAAAGCTACACATCAACCAATGTCAAATATTATCAGGCTAGAAATGGCTATAATACTAACTAATAATAAATTATGAAACAATTTGGCACTAAAGTGAGGCATTATGTACCATCTTTTAATAATTTATTAGTATTATAAGTTCATAATTTATTAGTATTATAGCCATTTCTAGCCTGATAACATTTTGCATTGGTTGGTGTGTAGTCAATGTCAGATTTAAGCTGATAAATTCAAACAGTGTGAGAGTAATTAGAACTAAACTTTTTAAACAAAAAGGACACTTACACAATTGGCTGCAATGTCATGTGCCACAAATTGAAAAATAGAATAGGAAATTGGTATATTACATATAGATACAGTAGAACCTTGATTATCCGGACTAATTGGGGATGAAGGTAGTCCGGATACGGAAAAATTCGGATAATCGAAACAAATACTTTAACTTTTCTTTTAATGATAATACAACACGTTTTCTTTTTGATGACATATTGGTAATATTAAAAATAAATACTGTATTTAAATCGTGATCAAATTTTCAAGAAACAAATGTTTGTATTGAATTTGGACTACTACTGACCAGTGCTAACAGACTAGCTATTGTTTAAAAGGCCCTCTGGCGGCTCAAGAAGACGGATTTTATAAAATAGAAAGCAGTTGAAACTGCATTTTTATGAATAAAAATTTGACAAACTATTTATCGTTTTATGATGAGTAAAATTTTTTTGTTGCATTCGCAGCTTTTAAGTAATGCATAAATCTTCAAAACGCGAGGCCCTTCGGACCATGAGGCATAGGCGGTGGCCCATGTCATCCATGCTTTACGCTGCCCTTGGTCATAGAAATGATGTAATTTGAATATAAATTATATATAAATACATATGTCAAGTTATGTTTTTATTATGACGTAAAATATATTTAACAGTTTACGACCCTGTGCTGGGTGAGACACTGTTGAAACAAAAAAAAAATTATGCATTCCATCACGTACAGTACATAAACAGTGTCATAATTCCCCAAGTGCAAATCAGCAAATTCGTAAAATTTTTGTTTATTTTGAACAATCCGGATAATAGAGGTCCGAATAATCACGGTTCTACTGTATTGATTCAAAAATATTGTCCATGTTATGAGGACATGGAGGAATTTTGGGATACCATCAACTGGGCTAAGTGGACATTGGGCAACAAAATAAGATATGAATAACAGACAAAATACAAAATGTTTTCTTTATTAAAAAAAACACCATTCTTTTCTGTTGATCTACTACCTGGTAAGTTTAAATATTTTTTTAAGAAATGTGTTAAATAAGTTAAAAGAACAATTTTGTAATTAACAAACATATCTCTGCCCTTGTAATTAATGTCAATAGATTGGCAGCCTTGTATGTTTTGAATTCTTCATTTTTAAGGCAACGTATCCTTAGATTAAGTATCTTAACTGAAATTCCTCCAATCCCTTACAGCATGGACAATGTTTTTGAACCAATATCTAGAGGTCATAGATCAATTGCCTGTGTTCTTTCAATTTTCGTTACATGGGACACTGCAACCAATAAATATAAAAATTTGTTCTTAGAAAAAATTTATTCTGATTACTGTTTGAATTTAACTTAAACCTAACAACCATGTTCAAGACAGTTGAAAATGTTAGTTTATTAAAGTGTATGTTTAGATAGATATTTGGTGTTATTGTGATTTTGAACTTTTTCCTATTTTTTTACCTACGCAGTTTATACTCTATTTGGTTAAATAATACAATTTTAGTTTTATACAAATGATGCTACCATACTTTATAAATTATGTATATATTTAAGAAGAATGATCAATAGACAAAAATAAATGATGATAAATGCTGCCAAGATTTATGCAATTTGGAACTATTTAAGTTTCAAACTCTTTTCTCTCTTTAAAATATAGAAAATATTATATACAGATTCTGCACTTTAATTTCTTTGAACATTGCTTTTATATCATTAAATCAATATTGCAACTTTTAATAAGAATTTTTAATTACTTGTGGATTATTGATCATTTTTTCCCTTCTTTTCCTCAGCAAAATTAGTGCCTCTTGCATTTGGTATTCATAAGCTACAAATTGTTTGTATTGTGGAAGATCTGAAGGTAATTTTTAAGTGCTACATTTTTAAAACAATTTTTTTTTAATTTAATAAAATTATTAAAATATACTTTTTTTCTCAGGTCAGCATAGATTGGCTTCAGGAGGAAATCCAGAATTTTGAGGATTACGTGCAATCGGTGGACATTGCTGCATTTCAAAAACTTTAAAGAATAAAACAAAGAATAATTTTTTTCCGAATAATTTCAATAGTTATTTTTACTACATTAAAATAATAAACTAAATTGAAAAATGTTTTTCTCGTGCTTTTTTCTTAGTAAAAAAAGATAATGTACTAGTCAAATGCTTGTTGGATTAGATCAGGTTATATTATTGCTGCTATTAATAATTAAATGTTATGTAATTTGGCCTAAAGATAGGTCAAATCCGGCAGTTGTTAGGCTTTAATAGAAATGTCTGGCTTGTAGATGTTTATATTGTATATATACTCCAAGCTAGGGTAAACTGATAGCAGACCGAGTGCCACGGTAGGAGTTTTTAGGCCATGGATGTTGTTGAGTTGGCACTATGAGTTACTAGTCTAGTTACATTTAAATTAATAGGTCTGGAGGCAATGATCTGCACTATAAGCTGGAATTGTGGGTTCGAGTCACACTCTGAATCGACTTTTTTCTTTCAGAACCTTCTAAATTATTAAATTTAAGAGGTAGTGCCGAATGTCTACCTTGTTGGTTTGTCCTTTATATAAATAATACTCATACAAACTTCAGCCAGATTGCTGTAAGAATGTAGCCTAGTGTCGATTCTAGTTACCCCAAAATGTAGTACAGTAAGACCTCGTTTAGCTCTTCCTCGATTAACGTTGGTTCGATATAACGCGGTCTGCTCGAAGCCTAGAAAAAAAATTTACGCCTATTCAAATTAACGCGGCATTTCATTGATTCATATATAATAAGATTATTCCCAAACGAACCACAGCAAAAGGTGGCAGTTCGTCGTAGCGCTGTACTTAAATCTTTGTACAGTTTTAGAAAAATAACATCGTGGATGCCATAGGCAATATCGACTTCGCTTGGCAAAAATTAACTGATAAATGCATGAATGGGGTTTGGTAGAAGGTATGGCTGGAGGTGTCTAAGAATTTTCAGCGAGAAGAGCCTATCGTTGACCAAATTGTCAACCTAATCGATATAGCAGGATATTGAGTTACTGCAGGTTTTTGGTGAGAGCCTTATCAACGACGACCTTCAAGAACTGGCAGAAGGAATTCATGTAGAACTAGAAAATGATTTAAAAACGAACCCAAAAAATTTCTCTACAGATTTGCTTAGTAAAAGTTTGGTAACGATAACCGAAATCATTGATCACATTATAGCGAATGATACAGATTTTGGTAGTAGTGCAAAAGCAAGACTAGGCGTTTTGGATGTGATATCAAGCTATCGATATTTGCTTAAGGGAGGAAAAAAAGTGAAATGACATTAGACGACTTCGCAAAAAATCAAGAATTTCAGAAGAGCCAGGACCTTCACAAAAACAGCTTTACATTTCTGCGTGCATATGTTTGTGTTATTTAACATATTTTTATATTAATTTGCATAATAAAAATTAAAGTAAAATCTGTTTATTTTTGGTTGCGTATTCCCCTTTTCTTATTTACTCTGTTAAAATTCCCTCGTTTAGCACTTCGTCCTCTACGAACGTATCGTATGCCTGCGTTAAGTGGGGTTTTACTGTATATATACAGTGACCATACGTCCTTTATTTAAGAGGACAGTCCTTTATTTCACTGCTCTGTCTTTTAACTTTATTTTCCAAAATAGGCATTTTGTCCTTTATTTTGTAAAGTTAAAAAAAAATTTTTTAATAATGAACAAGTTAGTTTTGTATACGCCATCACGACCAGTGTTGCATTGCTACATAGAGCGCAGTAGTGCAGTGTGTCGCCAACCAAACGGCCCACTGACAGTACCAGGGGGGTGGACACTTATGGGGATTTTTGTGATAGTTTTTTAACTCTCTAGTTGATGGATGATACACTTGTTAATTAAAGCTGAAGTTAGTTGAAAGAAAAAATGAGGGGTTTCTTCCTATTGTTATTAGAAAAGTGGTTTTAGCATTAGAAAAATCAGATAATATACAAGCNTATTAACCAATGAGCATAAGCCACTGATCGCTTACTTGTGGTAAGTCACTTCCGATTTCTTCCTATTTGTTAAACATGTCACCTCCATTATAGTGTGTATTATGGAAGTCTGGTATTGGATTACGAGGAAGTTCGCTATAGTTGTTAAATGTAGGCTATAAAAAAGTAACACAACGGAAAAGTTGTTCTGTCATCTAGTAAGAAAATAAAGTTCGCATAATAAGAGAGCTGTTGACATTAGCGAATGTGCTGATTGGTTTTAACAGAAGCGACATCACGCGTGACGTTGCTCTCAAGTTTGTCCACAGACAGATTATAGTTAATGTTAATATAGCACTTTAGCTACTTTTGCATTACAGAATAACTATTTTTATTTGGCTTCTGTTGGCAACATTCAAATTTGTTGTAGGCTGAAAATGTGCAAGTCCGAATCCGGTATATAAAAACTATTCGGGAATATGTCTTTTTAATCAAGCAAATTGTCGGAGTTAATTAACTTTGAACCGTAATTTTTTTTAGCTTTATAAGTTAACGATAATTCAAAACAAAAATAAATTAGACGTTTTTGTTGCTGGACTGTAAATTTTCAAAAATTGTAGACCTATAAATTCCCACTCGTCTATCCGTCCGCCTGTCTTTCCTTAAGAAACGCTGCCCTATGTCAAAAAATCTATTAGTTCTTTTGACATAGGGCAGCGACATGCCCTATTAGTTTTAGACAGCTCGCTAACAATGTTCCCTCTAAGCTGCGCGGCAGCGCACTGCTCAAATTGTTGCCGCGCACGAGAATTTATGTGCCTGTGCGGCACATAAATTCTCGTGCGAGCATGCCCACCGATTTGAATTGTTGTTTACTTATTTCTCACTCTGTCTGCAACATGATTATTGCTGCGTATATTTCGATTAAATACATTAAATCATTGACAAAGGATAATATTTCGTATAAAAGTATGTTTTAAAATGAATTTTAATCTCTATAATTATTTTAATTTTTATAGGAAAAAATAAGATTATATATATGCTCAGAAAAATTTTTTGCTCAATCTGCTCAGCAAAAATTTTTTGCGCTCAGAGAAGTATATGTTCCGCTCATCTACAAAAAAAATTAGAGGGAACATTGCTCGCTAGATGGAAACTACTCTGTAATAAAATTTATATCTATATTTTGTACAGGTAGAAGCATAATGGCATTTTTATAGTTAACGTTTGAAACAATCATTAACTATAAAAATAAGGATAAGGTTTCAGGAGTAGGCCTAAGGCATATTTCTGAAATTGTACATCATATGGCGCCCGAAATAATCTTACAGATGGCAAGCCTGGGCAGATGCGATGCCGGGGGAGGGGAAGGTAAAGATGGTACGCTTTTTTCACGCTTCTCTCAATGTGCATGTCTCGTAAATTATTTGATTCCATCGTATTTAATACTAAACGAGATTCGGCAAATCGTGCAAAACAGAGCCGAACAAATATCATTGGAGTTAACCAATTTTTCAATTCATTCAGGCGAGCCACGAATGTCTTTAAAAATCAATTTTTTAATCAAAACGGCATTAAACTTAGCGCCAACAAATATTTTCACTTACTTCGCACCAATCGCATTTGAAAATTTAACGTATCGCTCATAAAAACTTTCATAATTATAATTAGAAAGTGGCAGTTTATTCTCTGTTATATTCTCAAGTAAACAATACATACAAGTACAGTACAGTATTTTCTGAGGGAACACTCGTACTTATTTTTTTTAACCCCATTCCCGATAACCCGGCATTTTCACAAACTCGGCCACCCTTCGGTCCACATTAGGCCGAGTTTTCGAGGTTCTACTTACTGATATAGAAAATGCTTTGATATTTCAACCTTGCTCCCCAATAGTCTTCAGTCTTTCATTAAATGTGTTGCGATATCATATGTACAATAGTCTTAATTAAATACAATTTCGTTTAAAGGCATCCGTTCCCGAACACAAACTGGCCACTAAAGTGACAGTTCGGGCATTTTTTTTTAGTATAGGCAGTCTTCAACTTTCGGGCGTTGAGTTAAAATAGGACAATAGATCCGCCTATTTATAGTGTTCCCAGAAAGCGAGAGATTACGAACGCCTAAGTTTGCGCACATTTAAGGAAATTAAAGGAAAAAAGGAAAGCTGTTTAAAAAATAAATCAAACAAAAAATAAAATTTTATAAATGATTTCGATAAATCAAAATTGGCAACCACTGCCACACGATAATTCGATGCATGTTGTCAATCGTTATTCTGTATTTAGCCCACCAATGGGTATTTAACTTACCAGTGTTCGATGATTTTATCCATTGAACACTAGTAACACGATCGCGGGTTCGTTCCCGACCAACGTGTAGTTTTCTTCACGTGTCTAAGTCGCCGGAAGTCAGATCACTGAAGAAACTGACCCCTATTACATTATTATAGTTCAATTTTACGTTTAGCTTTTTTGTTTCCTTTGAAAAAGTCCTTTTGTATAGTCTGTCTAGGGAAAAAATCAACTTGAGTATTAACCAATGAGCATAAGCCACTGATCGCTTACTTGTGGTAAGTCACTTCCGATTTCTTCCTATTTGTTAAACATGTCACCTCCATTATAGTGTGTATTATGGAAGTCTGGTATTGGATTACGAGGAAGTTCGCTATAGTTGTTAAATGTAGGCTATAAAAAAGTAACACAACGGAAAAGTTGTTCTGTCATCTAGTAAGAAAATAAAGTTCGCATAATAAGAGAGCTGTTGACATTAGCGAATGTGCTGATTGGTTTTAACAGAAGCGACATCACGCGTGACGTTGCTCTCAAGTTTGTCCACAGACAGATTATAGTTAATGTTAATATAGCACTTTAGCTACTTTTGCATTACAGAATAACTATTTTTATTTGGCTTCTGTTGGCAACATTCAAATTTGTTGTAGGCTGAAAATGTGCAAGTCCGAATCCGGTATATAAAAACTATTCGGGAATATGTCTTTTTAATCAAGCAAATTGTCGGAGTTAATTAACTTTGAACCGTAATTTTTTTTAGCTTTATAAGTTAACGATAATTCAAAACAAAAATAAATTAGACGTTTTTGTTGCTGGACTGTAAATTTTCAAAAATTGTAGACCTATAAATTCCCACTCGTCTATCCGTCCGCCTGTCTTTCCTTAAGAAACGCTGCCCTATGTCAAAAAATCTATTAGTTCTTTTGACATAGGGCAGCGACATGCCCTATTAGTTTTAGACAGCTCGCTAACAATGTTCCCTCTAAGCTGCGCGGCAGCGCACTGCTCAAATTGTTGCCGCGCACGAGAATTTATGTGCCTGTGCGGCACATAAATTCTCGTGCGAGCATGCCCACCGATTTGAATTGTTGTTTACTTATTTCTCACTCTGTCTGCAACATGATTATTGCTGCGTATATTTCGATTAAATACATTAAATCATTGACAAAGGATAATATTTCGTATAAAAGTATGTTTTAAAATGAATTTTAATCTCTATAATTATTTTAATTTTTATAGGAAAAAATAAGATTATATATATGCTCAGAAAAATTTTTTGCTCAATCTGCTCAGCAAAAATTTTTTGCGCTCAGAGAAGTATATGTTCCGCTCATCTACAAAAAAAATTAGAGGGAACATTGCTCGCTAGATGGAAACTACTCTGTAATAAAATTTATATCTATATTTTGTACAGGTAGAAGCATAATGGCATTTTTATAGTTAACGTTTGAAACAATCATTAACTATAAAAATAAGGATAAGGTTTCAGGAGTAGGCCTAAGGCATATTTCTGAAATTGTACATCATATGGCGCCCGAAATAATCTTACAGATGGCAAGCCTGGGCAGATGCGATGCCGGGGGAGGGGAAGGTAAAGATGGTACGCTTTTTTCACGCTTCTCTCAATGTGCATGTCTCGTAAATTATTTGATTCCATCGTATTTAATACTAAACGAGATTCGGCAAATCGTGCAAAACAGAGCCGAACAAATATCATTGGAGTTAACCAATTTTTCAATTCATTCAGGCGAGCCACGAATGTCTTTAAAAATCAATTTTTTAATCAAAACGGCATTAAACTTAGCGCCAACAAATATTTTCACTTACTTCGCACCAATCGCATTTGAAAATTTAACGTATCGCTCATAAAAACTTTCATAATTATAATTAGAAAGTATATTTACTTATAAAATTATTTTTTAATATTTAATCGTTTTATCATTATATTTTTTCAATTAAAATATTTTGTTTACGTTTTAAATTGCTTTGCCGACCGCCAGCCTGGATTTGAAACCAGATAGCCCGATGGTTCAATGATAACTCGCTTATAAAATTTTTAAAAAGCAGGCAAATTTAATAGTGTGTTGCAATTAATTAAAAAAAATTGTAATTTACCTGCATTTTTAATATCCTTACATTAAATAAAAATTATTATTTTTAAAATTTTATACTCTGACCTTTATTTACACCGAAACCAAACCTAAAAATAAATTAAAACGTTTTTAAAAAACCGTTCAAAAATTGTTTTGAAATTTTCAATTGTGAATCAATTTTAATATTTTACGTTGTGTGAGGCGGTTCTGTACATCTATTTCTGTATATCTATATAAATATTAAAAGCAAAGTGCTTTTAATATTTATATATAGCTATAGAATACAGATTGCCGGTCAAGCCAGCCGAATGGCAACCCTAAAGCAGTGCCGGCCCGAGCAAACTCAGCACCCTAGGCAAATGACTTTGATGTCTCCCCATTTAAAAAAAATTAGTAACAATATAAAACACCAATGTAAAATAGAGTATCTAATTTTTATTCGAATACGTAATAAAACAGCATAGTACAGAATTGTGATAAAAAAAACATTTATTTTTTCATTATTTATTGTAATTTATGAATGCACTTTCGCCATGCCGCTCCCCCCGGAATTCAAGCGCAGTAGGCAATCGCCTAGTTCGCCTATATGGACGAGCCGGCCCTGCCCTAAAGTCACGCTATCTCCCCTAAAATGGAAAAACAGTACCGACTGAGAGCAATCTCTTATCGCTCTATGCGAAAGAAAAGTCTGCCGTTACATCACCTCGTGTATGGGGCATTGTGTATTCTCTGCTTTGTCAACATGAAAGTTTGTTTTAATTGTTAATATTGTGATTTAAGAAAATTTTTAATCTTTGACTGAAATAATTAATTTCCTTATAAAATGTGGAAGACTCGTTTTTAATGATCGGAAATCGTAATGAGATTTTCTCGATTCCAATCAATTCCTGATTACAAGCATTTAATACTAGTGATGGGACAATTTTTATCCCATAAAAATTGGTGGGACCAGCCTGAAAAGTTACAGCTCAGCGAAAACATCTAAATAAAGGAAACTCGAAAGTAGTGACATAAGAATACTGGAACTAGATTTGACAGTTAGACACGTGAATAAAGTGCACATTGTAGTCGTTGCTTGTGTAAAGTTTTGGATGAAGTAACGTCATCGTGATAATTTAAGAAAAGCATCGTCACAGAAAAAGGCTTTGAGCTTTACTTTGAGCAATTTTAGTGAAGTAACTTTAAGGCTCAAAGATTCCCTAAATGTTAAGCCAAATTGTTGTGTGTGCAACGACTTCAAGGAACTAAATATACTTCTGAACCTTTTTCTGTGACGATGCTTGTTTTCCTGATTTCTCACGACGACATTGCTTCATCCAAAACTTTGTATTGCCTGTGTAATTAAAATTTGTTAAAATGACTTTCAATTAATTGCAATATAATTTTGTAGAATAGTTTAACGAACCCAATTAAAATTTTGCCACCATTCTAAAGAAAAGGCATTCGGTATACATTTTTATTATAAACGAATTTATTATTTTAGTAAATAACCATTCAAAAAGATTATCTCTAACAAGGTAATACAATTTCATTTCTGTCAAAATTTAAAAATTGTGTATAAACGCTGTCATATTTCTGTATATATTTAAAATATTTTATATAATAATTTCAAGAAATAAACTGTAGCATTTGATAGATCGATTAAATGCACTTAGCAAGTTAATTAAAACAGACCAAAAAACTAACGTGGATGCTTGTTTTCATCAAATTAAGATTACATATAATTTATTGTTACACATTTGAAAACTTCATTTTAATCCATAAGTTTCGATTAAAATATTGACCCTATTAATGTACGCTTCTTTGGCTTCATCTGTTGGCATGCCTAAAAATTTATTATTATTATTATACAAGTAACATTTTCAAAACAACACGAAGAGAAAATTTTGTACCTTTTCGACCATTCCAGGCATCCCATTTTGCTTTGCCTTTGAAGTCAAGCATACCAGGTCGACCTGCAATATTCAAATTGGCACTATGAAATTATATACTGTATTTGTTTTATAATATAATAATTATGTAAAGTTAATTGTGTTTATCTAGAAATGAACATTGGGGAAAGCAAGTTAATAACAAATCAAGGTGTGCTCATTCGGACAGTTTGAATTAGAGAAAATTCGGAAGTGTTCGACTTTTGATGGCTTTTGATGTCTTTTTCTCTTTTGAAAAAATAATTGAAAGCAGCACTTAAAATTAATTAATCCTCGTATAATTTAACATTTATAATAATAATAATAATAATAATAATAAAATTACAGATGTCATCGTGACTTTTTAAAAAAACAAATTTAGATGCCAGGTATGAGATGCGAAGTTGCCACATGTAACAATAATATACAAAAATACTAGGAATGTCAATTACGAAACAAGAAAAATATGATACGTCGACGTCATTTTTGATATTTGGAATCCGAGTATATTCGATTCGTTTTCAATCCAGCTAATGATTTATTGGGTAAGAGTACAAGAGAATCATAAAATTATTGTATTTATAAAAGAGCTGAGAATATAATAAACTTTAAAAATGACGTTTTTCTAGAATTACATACGGAAAAACAAAGTCAAAATAAAACTCAATTGAGGCAGAGCTTTTAGAATTGAGTTTATTCTCAAAATTTGATCTGTCAGTTTTTGTGTAAAATGACAAAGTTTAATCATATAAATACAAGACGAGGAAAGTAAAAATGTAATAAAAATGAAATCATGGACACGACTTTTGAGATAGTGAATCAAAGTAACAATGTCCAAGATCGCTAGAATGAGTGCGTGCATTTTTTTTTCATAGGAGCGACAAGTGATCGTCGTAGATGCCCCCCCAAATATTATTATTGACTTGCTAGCGTTTAAGTTCAATTATTTCACGTTAGTTCGTGTTCGGACAGAAAACGAATTGTGCCTAGCATGTGGCTTTAATAAATAAGCATTCGTTTTAGTTGGTAAATATTGAGTAGCGTCCTTTGCAGTGGGACGAGAGGCGAACGTTTTGTGTGTGGCTTTGCCAATTATTTTTTCAGACATAAGCTAAACCTAAACTTATTTTTTAACGTCAGTACTGATATTAGAGTTGTTAAAAAGAAAAAGGTTTGTTCTGTGAGGAAGGTGTGCAGTCGCGTATTCTACACATCTATTTATAATAATGAAATGTTTGAAATTCAAATGTAAGCCTACTTCAAAAACAAACATTTTAAAAGGTCTTTGATATTGTATTTACAAACAAAAAATATGTTTAAGTAGATGGTGTTAAATCTATAACGAAATAACGAAATTAAAAAAAATAAATTACGTATTTTAGTACCGTATTGCACAATAAAACAGAAGGAACTGTTTCTCATTAGAGGAAAATTCGTTTAACCTTAAATCGAAATATCGTTCATATCATATATAGGAGCTATAGTACACAAATTATGTTAAATCGGCATCAGGTATTGTAACGTCATGTACAGTACTATCGATTAATTAATAGCTGGAATGAGCACATCATGACTTCAGCTTTAGGTTAGTGGCGCATGATGAAGTTTATAAGCGTGAAAGCACCTATAGATGACAAAATTCAAGATGGCTTTCAGGAATGACAAAGTATTTGTAAAGACTTTGACTGGAAAGTACGTATGTCATCAGATTACAATTTTGCGTTACTTTTGAGGAAACAATTTAGATTAAAAAATGCTTACAAATTGCAGGTTCGCAGCCCACTAAAAGGACTAGGTTTTCTAGATTTTTCACATGTATAATACCTACCATAAATAGGAACCAGTTTTCCCATAGAAGGTTCTCCAGTGAGGCACCCTTCCTTGGTAGATTGCAAAGTGTTGAGTTGCCTTATTCTATTAAATTAATCTATTCATTCTATATTCTTCAGAAATAATTTTAATTTGCATATCTGATTCTGTAGTTACAATTTGTTGCATTATAATGGTATATATACTGTATATATTTTTTAAATAGAACAATTATTAAAAAAGTAATTCTTGAAAAAGTCACTGAATATTTGATATGAACATGTAGAATTTTGAAGTAAAAAAATTTTGACAAAATTATATTCTTTATTTTAGTTAGTTGGAGGATTTGTTTAAAATTAGAAAATATCAACATTCTTGTAATTTAAAAAAAAATGAATCTATAATGAATGACACTAGATGTTAAAGGAATTTTTATAATATAATTTATATATCAACTTCCCAAAACCCAATGTATAAACTAAGACAATCCATTCCTGTAATTACAGTAATCATAATAATTTTTTTCCTTACATTTCCATAAGCATAATGACAGAAAATGGAAAAAGTAAGGATGCTAATAAATTAAAAATTAAATAATACAGACTTTAGAAAATTAATTTAAAACAAACTGTAGAAGCAGTTGCAGCTGGCAATAATAGATGTTAAAAGTAATTTACAAATTGTTAATCATCTTTACAGATGATTAACAATTTGTAAATTAATTTGTAAAATCAATTTGTAAGATTGATTTTACAGATGATTAATCTTAAGTTGTCTATCATCATCATCCCGTATGTTGTACATATCAAACTTTTGTACATACTTCTTTGGAAAAATCTGAAAACATTTGATTTCTTTGTAACCCAATATAAAAAGCAAAGTAGATTTACCTAGTTTAGTTTTGTGATGTTGCACAAGTACATATAAAATTTTTTGTATTTGCTTTGTTCTAATTTTAAAATTGATTTAGTAATTAAATTTTGATAAAAATCACATTTTGTTATATACTGTATTTATTCTAATAAACAGTGAAGCTGCAAAATGAGAAAAGTTATAGATAGCACCCGCTAATAGTAAGCATGCTGCCTACTACAGGAAGATAAGAATTTGCGCAATTTTTCAGCTTACAATTTGTTTAATGTCACTTTTACCTTATGTTGAAATAAAGAATGAGTGTGTCAAAAGTGTTGCGTTATTGTTTGAGTAATAATAATAAAAATAATAAAGTGAAAAAATTTACTGGACTTATTCTATTAATAGTCCTTAATAATAGCCCTTGAATAATATTCACACTCACAATAGTCCTGAAGAATAGAAATAATAGTCACCCTGTAATAAACAGCACAGTTGCAAGCTGAAACTAGTTATAGACAGCACACTTTATTAGGATAAACATGATATATATATTTTGTTTTAGAAAATATATGTAAAATAATGAATAATTGTTCCATGATAGTGCAAGTATTAGACTTATATAGTGTATAACGATTTTTTAAAATTAAAAATCAAAATTCAATTAAAATACCTTTATATAGATGATAATTTCAATCAATAAATGAGTATTAATGCTAGTATAAATCTACATCATTAGTATAAATCTATAAAATACTTCAAATACAGCAAATTAATCACTTGTTCATAATTATGAAAATGTTTATAACATATATAACAACTACAGTTAAACAATTTCTTTAAAAAGTTGTTCGAATTTAAAAATACCAAAGTTATTCAGAGTCTTGTATGATTCTAAATATGATAAATTGAATGCAATACAAGAAGTGTGTTAAGATGACAAAGGACTTTTCACTAATTAATCAGAAAACAGTGATTCTTAAAAAAATTTGAAATTAAAAATTCTATATACAAAACAGAATAAAATATATTATACCAGGAGATTATTATAATTTAGTACATATTACAAAAATTTGCCAGATGATAATTTTTATGTTGATTAAAATTGAAGACAATATCTGTCAGAAGTCAGCCAAATAAAGCAAGAAAAGATGATTGCTTTAACTGACTTTGCCTTCAATTTTAATTAAATTATTATTTATTTCATCAATGATATATAATATATGATTGCCCAATCATATAACAACAATATATCTTCAGATCACTAGCATCCTGTATTATTTGGCAAGCCAAGTGTATCACTAATGATCAATAGATGTTTCATTTCAATGGTTCTAAATATGTTGAATTAATTTTGATTAAAAACACAAAATTTGTCATATAGTTGATTTTATTAACAATGGTTTCATAGAAAATAAATTGTTAACATGTTGCATGCCAATTTTAATCAAATAAAATACTGATGTTAGATTAATTTTATATTAAGTATTTACACTGTCATTGTATTGAACTTAACTATTAAATGACAATACAAACTTCTTAAATGTATGTAAGTTTTGTTTGAGTAATGTATTTATATAGTTTTACATATCAAAAATTAAAACAGTAATCTTACTTGTGTTACAATCTCCAACAGTAGCTTGTTTGAACAAGGCATAGATATCAAGTAATTCTTGATCTATTGGCTTTGACTTCAAATTTTTTGAATCTTCTACAGCTTTGTTGAACTTCTGAAATAAAATAATTACATTTTAAATATTTCTAAGTGAACTTTAATGTAAGTTACAATTATTAAAACATTTAAAAATCAATAAAATTATTTTTGTTTGGAGTTATAATTATGAAAACAGAATTAATAAGATATTATATAAAAAAAATTCAGATAGAAGTTGAGATGATATAAATATTGAATGAATATACATCAAACATATCAATTCAAATAAAGAACAATGATTTAATTATTCAAAATAATTTCAACTAATAGATAATGCATATTTGATTTGAAAATCAAAAACATACTACACCATGGATTGTAAACCTTTTTGAGCTGTGTGCCATATAGTTATAATACTTATCTGTAAAAATGTTTATGAATACTGAAGTTGTAAACTTTGAATAATGATATTTATGGAAATGAAACAAATATGTTTTAATTAGAATAAATGTAGGGGCTGATTGAAAAAGGGTGATTAGGTGATAAACCAAAAGGATAATTAAAAAACACAAGTGAAACCAAAATCACATACAGTAGCGTCCTGCTAGTCTGAACACTACTAATCTGAACATCTGCCTAATCTGAACATGTTTCAGTCAGTGGAGAGGAAATTTTTTTAGCTCGCAAAATATGATTTTTTTGTATTTTCCAGTTATTTAAATGGTATTAATAATACAAAAATATTTAGAATTCCACAACAAAATATATTGTATTCTATTGTAGTACTGTATTAATACTGTACAAAATTAATAAATCAGTGTTTGACATGGCCTATTAAACAGCAGATCTATGCAGTACTTACACACAAAAACAGAAACAAAAGTCATTGATGGTGTTGGATCTATATAAACCAGATCTGTTTTACTGCTTGCCTCTGCATTATTTTAATTATTCAGCTATTCTGAAAATCTGCTAATCCGAAACAGGGCTTAATCCTAATTAGTTCAGACTAGAGGGACTCTACTATAATACATTGCATGCCAGATGATTTCTCCTGATGTTCCACAAGTTCACCCACCACTCCTGTACTAGACTATTATTAAGTATATATTCTGGGAGAAAGACCTACCAATTATTATTATAAATGCTGCTGCATTCATGCTATCCAGACAGTATATAGCTATGATGGGTGATATTTCATCACTTCTAGATCCTTTCTGCAGTTATCATATAAGTTAAGTCATGTAAATAAAAACTTATATAAAAGACAGTTTTAATTCAGAATGCAATGCTCTTATTTCTGATACAAAATATATAACTCCTGTCTTGATAAGGTTTGGCCCGTCCTGGTATATAGGATTTTAAATATCATTGTGAGGTGGCTAAATTGTGTGCTCAAGTCAGAACAGAAGAGAGGTGGAGATTTGTATTGAGTACGACAGATTTGATGGTTATAAGAAATTATCCTGATTTATTTATACTAAAAAGGCTTAAATTAGTGCTCTTGATGTTTTCTAAGTGATGAGAAAGTTTGTTGAGTCTTCTGTTTTTCCTTTGGAAGAGTCCTGAGAAGAGGATCTGTCCAACAGAGAACAATCCTTCCATTGTTTGGCAGTCCCATGATGGTGATGTCAATCCAGAGAGAGAGAGAGAGAGAGAGAGAGAGATAGTTGAGAGTGCAACCAAGTAAGATCTGGCACTGAGAGAAATCAAAAAGAGCAGATATCTCATCCTTGAAATTCAGGGTTTTTTTATTAGTTTTTGTTCCTGATCACTCATTCAGACAGATTGCTTTTCCTCATTCTCACTTTCTAAATGTCACTCACTTGTTACTAAGTATAATGAGATCTCAACTTAGATCATGGAATGAGTCAAAATAAGATTTAATTCAATCCCAACTAGAAATAGTTAATGTTGGGACTTACAATGTCCAGTTTTCCTTTGTATGTTTTTGAGAAAAGGTTTTTTTCATATTATTTTTCTTTTTATGGAAATAATATATCAAAATATTAACAAATTTAGTGGGGTTCAGGGACATTCCATAGCTTTTCATTAGAATATCAGGGTGTTATTTCAATACCTCACACAATGACATATCTAGGATTTTGAGAATACCACGTATACATGCTGCTATAGGCAGATTTCGGAGTACCAAAGCACATCCTGTCATTTTTCAGAGAATGTTACTCAATTACCTTAGAATTACTTTAGTTACCTAATCTTATCCAATTGAAGTCATATACATTATATTTATTTTAAAGTAGAGTTACAAAACTGATTGCTTTAATATCAAGGGAGTTCTCCAGCACCACCCTCCCTGAATATGTCTTTGACCTCAACTTTATTAATTACTAATAGTTTAAATAATTTTATTACTATCACTTTGCTTTTCAATTTTCAATATTAAATATACATTTCTTAAATTAATGTTTTAAATTTGTACATTACAAGATCATTTCAAAAAACATTTCTTATTACTGATAATATGAGAGGAAATACTTATGTTAAAATTAATTATTAAAAAAAATCTGATTAAAAGATTACATCAAAACTTGAATATTTTAAATATCTTCTTAAGATACTCTTTCTATTCTAAATTTCACTGATATTGCTTATCTAAACTTCTAATCAATATATTAATAACATAAGAGATAAAGTATTCAATATGCTAAATGCAAAATTAATATACTGTACATAACTTAAGAGATATATAAGGAAAAATATAATTCTAAATATTTTGAAATAACAAAATTCATCCTTGAAAAGTTCTAGAATTCAGTATTTCCTCAAAACAAACAGTTTAAGTAAAAACATTAAATATACTATATATTGTTTCATACATATTAGTTTGCTAATATACAGAATATCCATAAGTTTTTCCACATCTAGTATTTCTATAGAAAGGAAAAAATTAGAGTATATTCATAATCAATAATTTTACAAAAAGCCTTTTATTATTACGAAAAAATAGTTATAAAATTACATAGAAATACAAATATTTTAAAATGTATTTAAATGTGAATCAATTGTTTTAAATTGTTTATTATTATTACAGTATTTTAAAATATTTGTTATAAAAAATACAGTTGTCTTTTTGGATCATTTTATTATATGATAGATAAATAAACTAAATAAATTCAACTTGTAGTTGAGTTTGAACTTTTATTAAAAGTAGTATTTTCAGTATCTTCATAAAATCTTGCATAAAAGAATTTTAAAATTTACAACACAATTATTTTATAACTAAATCCTATCATCTGAATTTGTTCAGAGGATATGATTTTTTTTTATTAAACAACAGGATAATTTAAATAAGGATTTAGCAACCGTGTACGACAGAAGAATAATCAAATTATTCATTAAATAGCCAAACTTAAGAATAAATTTGACAAACTAGTATTAGAATTGTTGCTTAATCATAATGAAATGTCAATTCCAATTCAATTTTAAGTGAAATGTTTAATATATTATCTTAGAAACTTTGTAATCATCATCATTTTAAAGATACAAATGCAGCTCCGAATGAGGCAGTTGGGACTTCATCAGAACCATATACAGTACTACATTCATAGGAGTAAAAAAGTAAAAGGAAAGATCATCTACCTGTGTCCCCTTGCGAAATATAGCCCCCAAAATCAGACTACATGGAGATACAAACCCCTCATTCCCTTTAATGTTTTAAACATGCATAATGTCAAACATGATCACTAGAATCAATGTATTATAAAATCATAAAATCTTGAATATAAAAAAATTAAGCAGCTTTTTTTTCAAGTGAAATTATTACACTAAATTTAATTTTTCATCATCTCTCTGCGAATAACACAGTAATATATTTGATAAAGAAACTTTAATTAAAAATTTTCTTAATCTTTCACAATCTATTACTAAAACAAATAGTAACATATTTTTCGTAATTATTTAGGACAAACGAAATCATGATTTTTACTTATTTCCTAATACACTGAACTGGAAAATATTTATTAAAAAATGAACTAGATTTACATTTAAAATTGTCTTGACACAGTTTATGGAATTTTAAGTCGTCGGCAAACTAACAAATATGAAAAGAAATAGAAATAGATAAGATAAACAGGAAACCATCGCCAGGCAATAGCCACGTTTATAACAATTTAAAGGGTCAATGACATTAAAGGGTGCATTCGTTTTGTCTAAGTAGTGTATGCTTTTACGTCAAATTGACGTCATTATCGAACTCTCTCATAAGAAAACTGCAAGTATGATGTCAAATTGACGTAATAACGTGTAATATTCGGACAAATCTAATTCTGTATTTAAACTAACAATGCTTTTACACAACGAAACATTAAATTAAAACATCGGCTCGGTCGAAATATACGAGTTAAAACAACGTTTAAAATAGAATTACCTCATCCAGAGACATCTTCGGCGGAGAAAAATAGCAAATCAGAGAACAAAATACAGCAGACGACACCAACGAGATCAATAAAACAAATGCCCAACTTTACCGAACTCGAAGTCCAAGGATGAGGAAACTAAACGTCCAACCAATAGCCATTTCTTTTACAAATTGTCACATGACCTACTTCCGCTCGAGATTCGTAATAGATATCGTAATTCATAAAAAAAACAATTTATTATTATTTTTTAATATTTTATATTTAGAATCTGGGTCTTTAGTAAGATTGATCAATTTTATGAAGTTTGTAATTTTATTTCGGTGAATAGAAAATACGTATATTATTATTATTTATTTTTTCTAGAAAAATTACGAAAATAATTTTATGACAATTTACGATGGAATATTTAAATAGGACATTTTGAATTTCAAAATATTTATCTATAACAAGCTTACGGAACCAATTACTTTTTATGTTAATTGATTAAAATTGTATTGTTTCATTTAAATGGGCATTTTACTTGTTGATAGATTAATTACGTAATTTTATAAGATAATAGAATAATTCTGTATAAAATTAAACAAGTTTTACATTCCCGATAGAATTTTCTTGGTTGTCCAATTCGAGTTTTTTTTTAAAAAAATCAAATTAATAATAATAAATAATCGTTAATTAATTCTAATTATAAACAGCTACATAATCTTTTAGTATAGTATTTTTTTTAAATCAAGTGTCTACTTTTTATACTTAAAATTACAAAACAGATCTAAGTCATGTTTCAAAAATATGTTAATGTATACAAAGTAATCATGAACAAACAGAATTGAAATATTTTCGTGGAAAAAATATAAATATATATATTATTTTAATGTAAATATATATATAAGTAAATATTTTAAAACAATAGTTTTGCACATATACAATAAAACATTTCAAAATTTAAATACGCATACTATATTCACTTAGTCTCTGTCTAGAACAGTTCAGAATCCGTGTTCCGCGGACCTACCAAGTTTTCCACCGGGCAAAATGTTTTTATTGCGAATTTATTCCAATGTACTGTACCTCAATATATAACTCTGTAGACAATTCCATGTTTACTATTCCATGCTTCACTGTTGGTTTTATTTGGTTATGGCAAGACGACCTGCGGATGGGGTGACCTCCCAAGGAAACCGGCTCTTACTTAGATGTTACAAACATGAAGAAAACCCGGAAAACTCCACGTAGCCTGTCCTTTGGCCTCACGATCAGTATCCAATAGTTTTTACTAGTGTTCAGTGGTTCTATCTACTCGAACACTGGTAGGCTGCTTCGTTGTTTCGTGAGAATAGTAAACGTGGAATTGCTTATCGATTTTTGAATATATTAATGCTAATGCTCTGCGTAATAAAAAGTATGTGAATGGTTTCATGCGGCCTCAGAAAGGTTGAGAATTACTAGTCTAGAGAAACTTTAAATACCTGTATATATTAACAAGTATTAAATCCTGACCTACTGTAGAGCTTTACAGATCTACATTAGGTCAGGATTTAATTTAATACATGTTAGATAATGTATATACAGTTGAAAATCTTCAACAACCACTTCCTCTAAATAGCGACCGTTCTTTATGTTACCGTCAGTGGCCGTCGTTAGAGGTTTAACCGTGGGCGTCTGCAGAGGGGGCAAGTGGGGCATTTGCACCCCCTGAAATCGAGTAAAAATTCTATAATTTATAATTGTAAAAATGATTGTGTTATGTAATCGTACACCCTCGATTATGTGACGCTTTGTTTGTCCTTTTGTATTGATCAATACTGTATTCTATAACAACGGTGGGCAACCCCCGGCCCGCGGGCCAGCTACGGCCCGCGAAAAGTTTCTATCCGGCCCGCGAGATGTTTAGAAGAAATTATAAATAAATATTTTTCAATGTAATTCGTCTAGTTTAAATTGAATATTATTTTCTGAAGTGTTGTGGCAGCAATGACAGGAAAAAATAAGGGAGTCATTTCCTTATTCAAACAAAAAATGGGAGAACAGAATTTTTCTAAATTATTTATATCTCATCGCATCATCCATCAAGAAAATCTATGTGCAAAAGCTATGCAATTAGAAAATGTAATGTCTGTCGTATCCAACTACATAGTGCTGTTTTTATTGTGTTTAAAGTCACTTAGATTTTACAAATAGGTGAGCCGTTCACAGCCCGGCACACGCATTTGTAAAATCTAAGTGACTCATACAACATGGAATTCATATAAAACGGAATAATCAACAGTGTTATAGGGGGGTCGACTGTAGTAATTAATTTCTTTTTATTTATTTATTTATTTATTTCATATTTGCAGACTAAAAATTTACAGGTCACAAGGTGTCAATTAACTACTATGGCCCGCGGAAAAAACGTAAAATTTATTCTGGCCCATGTTATAAAAAAGGTTGCCCACCCTTGTTCTATAATCTACTTGTGGAAATAAAACTCAAAATATTAAATAATTAAATAAAAATTTATTGATATAAGTACAGTAAAACCTCGATTTACTAATTCGGGCGAAGGAGTATACTTAAAGCCGAAAGTCCGTTATATAATAAAGTAGGTTTTTCAGAATGCGTGTTAAAAAAATTGACAAATTATTTAGTTTATCCGTTTTTAGTTACATAGATACGTTTGTGTAATTACAATTAAGTATACAAGAAGTTTAATTTTACAGAAAAATTTTTCATTTGTACTATCTATTACTTGTAGATCTGAGACTGTAATAAACAAATATAGGATCGAACTAAACATTTTTTTGAAAGTACACGACATTTTATTTGTATTTAACTAAACAAATAAATAATGTTCTTAAAAAGAAATCAAAATTTAAATTTGACAAAAACACAAAAACAATTTCTTATTTATTGTCTTCGGGTGATGATATGTATTGAGACACTCCCGTTGTGTGTGAAGCTCAGAGCCTAAGAACGGTGAGTCTTGGATTTCAAAATAATAATAACTTATTAATTTCATTACATATTAAAAGCATTTTTAAATTAACAGGGTATTAATTTTCCACATGACACACGGACCAGAAATTTTGTCCGTTAAATCGAGGTTTTACTGTATTTGTCTGGAAGCTTTGTCTTCTTGAAAAATTATCTGTGGACGCATATATATATATATATACATTGACATGAATAATTTAATAATTTGATTTTTGCGAAACTTTATTCTGAATAATTTTTGATCATTTTTATAAACTGACTTTTATATTTTCTTTAAAGTTTTCTTTAATATTTGAAAGAATAAAAGGAAATCTATATTTCCGTTTATACAAGACCGTCACCATCTCAAAATAATTCTGTGACTTAGAAGAATAAGTGTCCAATGTTTCGGGTCAATAGTTTTGATGTTGTCGAAATCAAAACTGGTAGAAAGACCAGTGTACAATAGCTCGAAAGTTTTGTTATCCGAAAGTCCACAACCGCCTATAATTGATGAATTAGGTAGAGAAATATTATTTGTTTGAAGAATATTACAATTAAAAACAAATTATATCTCAATAGATTTGTGTACATATCCACCATGAAATGATGAATATGTACACAAATTTATGTACACAATTTTAAACTGTTAAATCTAATGACATCGTTCTACATATCCAACAATAGTTAAGTTGATTAAAAATTTAGCAGGAAGAAAACGAATTTCAATAAAACTGATCTTATTGCGATTGGATGGTATTCATGCGATTCATGAATACCTTCATGAGCGAATAATCGCGTATTCGAGTATTTCCTCTGTATTCATTAAACGAATCTAATTCAAAATGTTCTTTACTAATTTGTATTGTCAAGTAAACTACTCCGATAAAATTTAAAAGAATATAAAAAGAATCTACAGAATGAAAGTATGTTTAAATTTAATTTTTACATGTTAATCTCATCTTTTCAATATTAAAATCATCTGTAAAATAATTTTTTTTTGTAAATGCTTAATAAAATATTCTTCTATTGTCAATGAGAATTCGGGTTAAATTTTATCTGGGTCGTCACGCAACACAATTTTCTATTGTGGTAGACACTATAAAGTTACAAAAAAAAAATTAAATTTTTAATGTATTTATTCACATCATAATATATCTATTAGGATAGGATTATAGGATTTTTTATTATAGTTTACTTTTTTTAAATCTGAGAAATTTTATTGTTTAATAAGATCTTTGCTAAAAGGAGCTTACAACATTCAGGATTGGATTGGGTAACACACAACATATGACAATCTAATAAAGGGATGCCTCCCAGGAGGCATCCCTTTATTAGATCGAGAAACTAGTCCCTGTTCAGAAGTTAAACACGTGGTAAAAACCGGAAAATGCCACTTTACATGCGGCCATTGACGAGGCGCGAACCCACAACCAGCGTTCAGTAGTTTTATCTACTTGGCCACTGCTGGACAAAATATTTATAAATTTTTTAATTTATAAATTAATCACTTTTAATAGATTTTCACATATTTCTAAATTGTAATTTAGAAATATGTATAATTGTAATTTAGAAATATGTATTTTAGAAATAACACGGGTTCATATAGTTCGGATTCCTATATCACGACGAAAAAATTGCGACAGAGTTCGTACAAACACGCTAAAAAAACTCGTATAATTCGGTAAAACGTCATCGCCGACTCGCGTGGATTGGTCGAATCTAGACCAATAGCAGATATTGTACAAACCGTTGAGTTTAAACCAGCAGCGGACCTACTAAAAACCATTTATTATTTATCGTCCATAAAAATTATATTTATATTAATGATGTCTCCAAAGTTCAGCGAATTTTTCGCAAAAAAAATAATTTATCAGGAAGCACGCGAGCGCCATTCGATGACAAGCTCCACGACGAAAACAAGCTTAAGCAATGGCGTAGTCGAACGGTGCACACTCGGTAAGTAATCCTACAATTTTTTGTTTATAGCATAGTTTATATGGATTATTCCCAAAAAATTATACGTATTTTGGAAATGTTGAGTCGAATTAGTCTAGAATCGATTAATTTTATGGAAGAAGACCTTTCAAACAGCCGTAGTCCGTAAACTGCATATCTGCCGGGCTGTGATTGGCTCATGTATTTAAGGACTCTTAGAACATCAATTCCATAAAGAATGGAACATATCTACCGTGTTATAGCGGGGTCGACTGTACA